CTTATTTCCATCAGATCAATTTCCCATGAGGCCAAAGGGACCGGCTGAGAGGCTTCTAGAAAGATCCATTCATTTTCCCTATTCCTATGAGCCATATGTAGGAGTCGGAGTCATTAGAAAGATTGGGTTTTATTATATCACAATTTCTTCATCATGTTTCCAGTTTATCTGCTTTTGACAGAGTTATACGACAGATTTTACTGAGTGACAGTCTAGAGCCTAAGCTGACAATATTCACTGAAATGCTATCTCATTATAAATAATGAAGCCCTGGGAGATTGATTTAATTATCCTGCCCAAAACAAAAAGGGAGCCATAATTATTATTCAAGAGAATTCAGGAGAAATTATTCAAAGGTGCTTAAATTCTTCATATTTATGAACAATTAACCCAGCCTTCCAGCTAATGATGCAATGACCAATTTAATGTGTTTGTATAAAAATGATCACCATATAAAATTAACGGACAACCCAGTTCAGTCTGAGGTAAAATGACTAATGGAAAAACAAAGTAATTGGACTGTTTATATTTTCATTCTGCCTTGGTGAATTTTCTTTGAAAGGCTTGGGAAAGTATCACCACCTCAGACAACGTCTGAAAATGACAGACATTCAAAATACTTGCCAGACACCCGTGGCTTTTACCCATTATTTATCTATAGGGAGGATGCTTTCCTGTGGCCCATCTTTTCAGCTCAAGACCTCGAATTGTACTTACATTACAGGAACAACCACCCCCTAGACTCGATTTTCCATTACAGCTCTTCTCCTTCTTGTTTGGTTTTCGTGGGCTAGGTGGATCATTTCTCAGGTTAGGGTTTTCAGATTTACATAATATTTTCCACTGGTGGCATTGTAGCCTTTCCTAAGACAAGGACATTCTTCTGGCTAGTAGAATCAGGGAGAGGGAGCTCAAGACCATCCTTTGGACCATTGAGGAAGGAGAAATGTGATGAAGAATATTGAGACGGTGTTTTAATTAAAACACAAACCTCCTTCACAAACCCCCAAATCACAGTCTTCAATGATTAAAACCAGATTGGCAACACTGAGTCTTGTGAACTCCTCTCTCCAACCTCTGCCATACCACCACACTAAATGATAATGGTAACACTTACTCTGACTTTAATCTTCAGTCTTCTTATGCTCAGAGAAGACAGTAGGTAGGATCAGGCTAGATAATGATGAAAAATGAAAGAGCCCCTTTAATCTGAATTGCTTGTGTCCTTCCCACCTACAGGTGAACAGAGATATTGTGTCAGGCCTGAAATATGTTCAGCACACCTACCGGACTGGGGTGAAAGGTAAATGAACTACACTTTACACTGTCCTCAAATCTGCTTCTCACTGATACTTAAAGTTTCGGTTATTAGCAAGTTTTAGGCATGAACTCATTTAAGAATCTGATAAAAAGCTGTGAACTCTCACCCTAGGGAAAGGCACGCATATACCTTTGACCTAGATATTAATGGCAAGACCTATGTTCAGGAGACATAGTTTAGACTGAGTCAGCCACTCACCTTCAGCATTCAGCTTCTGGAATTTGACTTTATTGCTCATAAATGGAAAGAGTAACCAACATAAGATTGAATAAAATAAAGTACATAAAAGTACTCTCAAAAGTAAAAAGTAAATAAATAATAAATAAAGCAGTTCTCAGGTATAAAACCTGAGTGTCAGGGAAATCCAAAACAAGAAAGAAGGAAAGATTTATCCACTGGCATTTTGTGTTTAATGGGAATGAGAGTTGGTGGAGTGGTGGAAGGGTGAGGTGTGGGGAGAGGGAGGGAAGTGCTTCATTTCCTGAACAGAGAAAGAAAAAAATTTTTTTCTGGAATTAAGAAAGGCTGTCTATTCGAAACAACTAATATGAGCATCACTTAATCCGCAGTTATTCTTGACAAGTTGTACCTAAATTGTACATGCCTTGGGAACCTGTCCTCAGGTCTCTTCCATGAGTATGGGTAGGGGGACCTGATGGGAGCACACTGACAGTCCTTTTCTACCTTAGGGCTCTCGTCCCATGGAGGTGTGAAACGGTAATGCATCCATCCCACCAAGTCCATAAACAAGGGAGAGAGAGGAAAGGTCTGATAAATCTGCATGCCATAGAGAACCACTCGGTTACTCAGATCCCACAGAAGATTGTGGAGCTAAAATATTTTAATTGGTCTTTCTAATACCTAGTCTCATGAAAAAGAGAGTTCAGTTTCTCATTTTCTTTTGGGCATGGGGACTATGTTGCCTCATTGAAGGGAGAGGGCTAGGATGTGTCTGTAGCTGTTCCTTCAGACTTATTCACAACACTCAACAGCTAACTAAACATTGCCTGCCTGCCTACCTACCTACCTGTATTTGCACTTTCTAATTCCTTACTTATTCTTAATATACATTCCAGTTATTCACCTCTTAACAGTGTTGGTTAACATTTGTTCCCATTCTTACTTTTTTAAAGCTTTATCTTTATTGTTGAAGATATTACAGATGTCCCTCCATTGATCCTCCGCTATTTGCTCCCACCCAAGAAATGTTAAAGGGGCTGCTATAATAAGAATAAAAAATAAAAATGACAATAAATAAATACCTATCAATAATAATCTTAAATGTAAGTGGGTTAAATGCCTCAATCAAGACATCGGGTGCCTAAATGGACAAGAAAACCAATTCTTACTTTTTAAATCAAATTATTGTTTTTCCCCTTGCATTCAAATTATTCTACCCATAATATCTGTTCGTTCTGGTCACCAGGTGTTATCTTATCTGCCGTAATTGATGTGTTTATTAAATGATAGTCTGTAGATAAAAGATCCATGAAGTTCATTATATAAAAAAGAAATGGAGGCCCAAAATATTATGACTTAGAAAAGAACCCAGGCCTCAACTAGTTTGAATTTTTTTGAGTTGAGATATAATTGACATATAACATTGTATTAGTTTTAGTTGTATGGTATAATGACTTGATATATGTATATATTATAAAATGATTACCATAATTAATATCCATCAACACACAAAGTAATAATTTTATTCTTGTGATGAGATCTTCTTAAGATCTACCCTTTTAGCAACTTTCAAACATACAGTATGATATTAACTACTAGAAGCCCGGTGCACAAAATTCGTGCCTGGGAGTTGGGGGAGTCCTTTAGCCCAGCCTACACGCTCTCCAAATCCGGGATCAACTCAGGGGATGTCCAACTGCCTCTTCCAATCCAGAACTGCTGGCTCCTAACCACTTGCCTGCCTACCTGACAGCCCCTAACTGCTCCCCTACAGGCCTGATCACCCCAATTGCTCCCCTGCTAGCCTATCGCCCCTAACTGCCTCTGCCTTGCCCCATACTCGGGACCCAGGATTTCCTCCTCTGGTCAGTCTCAGGCACCCATGACCCAGGGTTCCCTCCCTTTGGCTGGCTGCAGGCACCCAGGACCCAGGCCGGCTTCTCCCGAGCTGGCCACAGCCACAGGGGACCATGGGTGGGTGGCTTTGCCAGTCCATACCCGCAGGTCCCTGGGACCACAGGATGGGTGGCTTGTCCCTCTCCCGGGCTGCAACCTGGCTGGTCCCCATTCCTGTCTTGCAAGCTCATTTGTGCCTGGCTGGTCCCCATTTCTCTCTCCCAGTGTTGAGTGTCTGAGGAGTTCCAGCATGAGAGCATGAGAGCATGAGGTCATGACAACCATTTGCATATTAGCTCTTTATTACAATATATAGGATAGTCACCATGCTGTATATTACATTCCCAGGACTTACTTACCTCATAAGTGGAATTTAATACTTTTTGACTACCTGGGACTTTTTTTTTAATGGTATAATCTGCTACATCTCCATAAAAATATTCTTCATCTCCGTTGATTTAGGGCACTGATTCCACCATTTTTCTGATGCTCAGAATAAGCTATTTTTTAAAAACACTGATTCTAGGGATCCACACTCTGTTACTTGACCATCGTTTTTGGGTCAAAGGAAACTGTAGTATTAAAAGGCACTCAAATAAAAAATATTTTTTAAAGAAAAAAAACAAAAAAGGTGCCCAGGTAAACCTGATGTTTAGCCAGGTTTGGACACCATTGCTCTTGGCTTTGATCCCTCTAAGCAGTGCTCCAAGTTCTCCAGTCCGTAGTGTTTGTTTTTCTCTCTCAGACTCTTGCCCTAACGAACTTTCCTTTCTTCCCAGTGGATAAAGCCACATTTATGGTTGGCAGCTACGGGCCTCGGCCAGAAGAGTATGAGTTCCTGACTCCGATTGAGGAGGCTCCCAAAGGCATGCTGGCCCGAGGCACCTACCACAACAAGTCCTTCTTCACCGATGATGACAAGCACGACCACCTCACCTGGGAGTGGAACCTGTCCATTAAGAAGGAGTGGACAGAATGAGCACATCTGCCCCTCCCTGTCCCTGCCCTGCCACCTGGAAGAACCCTCTGCATCGTGTTCACTGCCCTGTCCTCCCCCCTCATCGCCGCTGGGCCTCTTCCCCAAGACCCCTCATGTCCTCTTGTTGATGCATCTATTCCCACTCTCTCTCTCTCTTAGAGTGATCCCTAACACTGGACGCTTAAAGCCCAGGCTTTAATCTTGCCCACTCTGATCCCCCGTCATGGCCAGATCTTTGAAGTTCTGTTTCTCAATGCACCACCATGAAATATTTCTTCTCTTATTCCCATTTGAGGAGTGAGAGGACAGGAATCACTAACCACCCTTTTGCCTTGTGTTCCAGTACTCATTCCCACCCCTGGATTGTTCTGTGGTTGCTGCTGGCTCAGTGAACGTCCCTAGCCACATTCCCTGCCACGTGGGTTTCTTCTTTTCTGGGAGACACTTAAACAGCACAAGAGAGTGAGAATAAAGCAATTATATGACCTGACTGAGACTCTCATTTCCCTGCTTTCTTCATTTGAACAAATATGATAACTGGATGGTTCCTTGGAGGGGGTGGGGCAGGACATAGTAGAGGAGGCATTTACATCACTGGGAACAGTTTGGGTACCCTGTTCCTGCAAAGGGCAATGAACCTTAAAAATGTGAATAGGAGAAAATCTCAGTTTGTTTTATTTTATGGTATTATCATATGACAGTTGTTTTCTGATCTTGAGACTTATATCCCACTGCCTGTGGGAGTCTCTTGGAATTCCACAGTCATCTTAGCCCAAATCAGACACTGTATCTTTCCTGTTTAAGATCTTTCCATGGATTCCCATCACCTACAAAATAAAATGGAAGCTCCTAGGCTTAATTCATAAGCCCCTTTGTGATCTGGTCCCAACATACCTTTTGACCTGTAATGATCATTTCCTTCCCTTTGGAATACTCAATCACTAATAATTCTCTCTCACTTTACCTGTGCATCGTTGGGCTTTGTCTCATTACGTGAAACTCAGGTTCCATTTTTTTGTCTGGAAAATTACTCAAGACTCTGGTTGGGCATCCCCTGCAGGGAAAAAAGCCTTCGCGAACCCCACCACTGTCCTAAATATCCTTCGTCTGCCCTCTCACAGTGCTCTATGAGTTCTTTTTTTTTTTAACTTTTCATTTTATATTTAAGTGATCTGTTTATCTGTGCATTTCTCACATTAACAATCTAAGCTGGGAGAGGCTAGATCAGATCATAGTTATCTTTGTATCCCTAGTGCTTAGGTCAACACTTATTATAGCATAGAACATTATTTACTTATTTAAATGAATTGACTTGACTTTCTTCTGGTTGGTTTTGTGCTGAGGCCCTGTCACTAAACTAGGTCCTTTATCTCAGAAGTTGAAGGTTCCCCTAGAGCCAGCTGCAAAGTTCCCAAAGCTCTAAGCACACCACAGCCCATGACCTGCAGAGTAGGCTGCCCCGAGTCCATGTCCCAAAACACAAAGTCCAGGGGTTGGATCAGGAGCAGAAGAAGAGGAATGGAAGCGACACCATCCAGATGCCTGTTCCTATTATTTCTCTTCACGTGCATGCTGTCCCCAGATGTTGCTGCAGAAATTCAAGAATCCTCAGGTAAACAAAGAAAAGCAAAAGGCACTTGGGTGTCCATAGGGCGGAAGTGTTGTTAGGGAAAGGAAAGGGAACAGGGTCACGCTCTGAGTACTTTTCCTCCAAACCTGGAATATTCCCCCAGGAAATGGCTGGATTACCTGGTGGATAAGAGAGAAGTCTGGCATTATCCTTCAGAGAGTGGCCACAAGGTGGGGTCGCCCTCCATATGTTGGCAAAAAAAAACAAAAATAAATGAAGCTTTGGAATAATCATTGTACCCCTTGAGTTCCTTGCCTTGGTGTGGAGAGAAACAGTCTAGATGCCCCTATTACTTAGAGCTGCTACTTCTCATAGGGTGTCATCACCCACCTTCTGCTTCTCTCTCTCTCTCTCTCTCCCCTATGTCTAGATGATTCCAGTGCCCCCCAGGAGCCTGTGCGGCTCACGGGTGTCCCAGCTGCCATGGAATTCATTGCTGCTGCTGAGGTGGCTGTCATAGGCTTCTTCCAGGTTTGTCAGATACCCTGCTTGTTATGCCCCCAGAGCAGCAGGAATGCTGGGAACCATGACCACTATGAGCTGACCAGGAGGCACTACCTTAGAAGCCAAGGGGCTCAGAGTTAGCTTTCAGCTTTTTCATTCAGGAACTCCCCATTTTTAGGCATTTCCAGTCTCTGAAATTGTGTCTTTCTCAAAAGTTCTGAGACTGCTGAAAAGACTCTGGGTCTCCTCATCTATGGGTGCTTTGAAACCTAAGTTGGTATCTGATTGCTGAGTCAGGGGCAGAGTCAACCCAACTTCTATCATCCAGGCAATGTACGACTCAATAGTGACTTCCGTCTGACTCCTTACCAAATAGCTAGTCTCTCCTTCTTCTATATCGCTGTTTGAATATGCACTGTTGAAGAAGGTTGACATTTTATACATTGAAGGTGATAGCCTCGGTCTTCGAGATTGGCTGCCTGGCTAAGGAGAGCAGCCATAAATGAGAAAGCATCGTTCCAGTATTTTTATCTTTCTCTGGAGATAACATCTGGTGATTCTCACAACTGATCAAGCCCCCTTCTTTCTCATTGCAGACCTCGTTGTCAGTTTCCACTCATTAATTCCAACTCATCATCACCCTGTGGATTCTGCGTACACAGCTGGAAATAGCTGTGAGGAGATGTATGGGGTGGCTGGGGATGGTGATGCGGGGGAGGGCGATGCTAAGAAGGGAGCAGATTTTTTCAGTGATGAGAGCTCTGAGCTGCAGGCAAAAGCAGCCACCCTCGGAAAGGCAGGGAGGGGTGAGAAAGTGGGACTGGAGGAGTGTGCAATAATTTAAACAGCCACCAGATGCCGTCATTTGACCTGTGAGCAATTGCATTTTAAGGGAAAGTCTGGATTAACAATGGTTCATAGCCTCAATGGATTCCACACCGCCTCTGCTTGAGATGGGATGCAAGGCTAGCCATCTTCTTTTCTCTTTGCCCATTTTCTTCAGACCAGAGAGATGTCAGGGAAGAATATGTTCACTGTTTATTACCTGGAGCTGTTGTGGGCAATGTTGCTGTGACAGCAGGGAAAACGGTATCAGCTTACTATATAAGACTGGACTGCCCAGGTGGCTTCCCTGCCCCCTCCTGCAGGCCTGAGGTCCGGAGTTAAAACAACGCGTAAACAGTATATTTCATGAGCAATACCTCGGGCTTGCACACAGTACAAAGAGGACTATTCTTTCACACCCCTCACAGATCTTTCTTAACAAAATTTCTAAGCTTCCATATTTATTGTTTATTTTGGGCCCTTTTCACAACATTTTCTTATTTTTGTATTTCTTTTTTGCTTCCACCCATTGTTCCTAAAACATTTGCCTTCACTGGTATATCAGTGACAATGCTTTTGCAGGGCCCTGTGATTTTGAGGCCCCTCTCAGTTACTAATAAACTGCAAGTTCTATGGTCAGACCAGGCAGGAGTCCCAGGCATAGCCACAATTTTATAGTTATCAGACTCAAAGTCAAGTCTCTGGTTTCTGGTATGATAAGCTAATTTCAATTCCATGTTCTGTTTCCATATCTCTCTCCTCTAAAATGACCTCTGTCATTTCTCCTTGCTTTTAGGATTTAGAAATTCCAACAGTACCTGTATTCCGTGGTGTGGTGAAAAAATTCCAAGACGTGTCATTTGGAATCAGCACTGATTCTGAGGTTCTGGCTCACTACAACATCACTGAGAACACCATTTCTCTCTTTCGTCTGGTAAGTTGGGTGGGTGGCTCAAGCCTTTTCCAGGTTTTTACTTACCTTAGATTGTAAACTCACTAACTTGTGAGACTAGAAAGAAGTCTATGTCTTTAACACTAATGACAATGCCAGCATCAGGGACAATGGTGACAAGGATGATGGCTCAACTCAAGCTTTCCAGACAGATGCTGTCGTGAAATAGAAAGAGGTCTGGACTGAGAGTCAGGAGTTGAGATTTGATGCTGACCAGTCACGTGACTCAGGCAGATCACTTAACCTTTCTTAGCCTCAATTCTTTCATCTCTATAAAATAAAATGGTTCAACTATATCACCTCTAAGATCATGTTGAGCTCTAAAATGTATACTTTTATATTTTGGGGAGTTAACTCACATTTGTAAAAATGTATCAAACTGCAAGATATTAACAATGAAAGCAAATTAACTGCATTCTCTTCTCTCATAGAATTTAAAATATAGTAGATTGTAAACATAATACACAAGTATCTACAATACAAAGAGCATCATATAAATAAAGTATTATAAGGGTTCAAAGGTTAAAAGCAGTATAGATATTCTGATAAAAAAAATTATAAAAAAAGAAAAGTGAACAGGGATTTAACAAATAGGAAAAATTTAGACAAGGTGAAAGAGTGGTAACAAAAATGTAACTTAGAAAACAATAATCAGGCTAATTCGATTGAATCTCAAGGTACATGTTTTGGGAAAATGAATATAAAACAGAGAAGCTTGATTGGAATCATATTGTGGAGAAATTTGAATACTAGCTTGACGTGTTTTCACTTAATTTGGTTGGCACAGAAAAGGCACTCAGACCTTTAGATTAGGGGAGTAACATGAACATAAATGTATTTAAGCAATGTTGTTTTAGCATATGGGTAGGATGGATTTCCAGGCAAAAAAAAAATAAGAGTGGAGAAAAATTTAGTTAGGCTGGCAAAACAGATCATGTACAAAGGGCTATAGTAGAGCAATCACATTAGAAAGTGAAGAAAAGGCAGGTTTTGCAAGGATGAGATATTAAAATCATGGAAGGCAAAGGAGGCCAAGCTTAAAGTCAAGGTACCTAGGAATGGTGAGGGCCTATTCAGAAAGAGGGATTTCTGATGTTGTGGCTAGTTGTTGAGTTTATATTATTGGCAGAGTATCAAAGTAGAGATGACAGAGTCCACTGGAAATGAGAAACTGGGCAAAAGAAAGTTTCAAAATTTCCTTCCCCTTCTCACCTCCATCCTATCTATCTCTTTCGCTTCTCATCCAAACCTCTCCTTACATGCAGTTAATATTCACACTATCGCTGAAACCGGTTTGGCTCAGTGGATAGACTGTCAACCTGCAGACTTAAGGGTCCCAGATTCGATTCTGGTCAAGGGCATGTACCTTGGTTCCGGACACATCCCCAGTAGAGGGTGTGCAAGAGGCAGCTGATTGATGTTTCTTTCTCATTGATGTTTCTAACTCTCTAACTCCCTCTCTCTTCCTCTCTGTAAAAAATCAATAAAAAATATATTTAAAAAATATTCACACTATCTCCAACTTTCTTTAAGCTCTTAAATACACTGCTATCTAGCTTATATCCTGCATCCATTAAATCTGCTTTCGTCAGCACATTTCTGTATATATTTCTAAATCCCATGAACATTTTTTAGGTCTTATTGTCCTCAACATCTCTTCCATGTATGACATGTTGACCACTTTTTTTTTTTTCTTTAATCTCTCTTTCCTTAACTTCTAGGAGCCTACTTCTCCTGGTCCTCCTCTTCTTATCTTAGTCTCTGTGAGGCCTTCTCTTCTATGCTACTGCCTGACACAATGCTTTTCCCAAGCTAAGTTATATAATCCAAGCATTGTGGGGCACTGCTTCAACCACAGAGCCAAAAGAGTGTCTGCTGTGTATCAAGTGCTCATTAAGTGTTCATTGAGTAAATAAATATGTGTATGAATGAATGTGCAATCCTTAGGTAATATAATTCTTTCTCATGTTAGACTATTAAGTGTTTGCTGAGGATTTGGAATGTTTCATCTCTAGCCTGGACCTCTGTTGTAATTCAAATGCTTGCTGGTTGAAGTCCCTCATAAGCACTATAGTCTCAACGTGTTCAAAACTGAATTTATCATGTGCACCTGATGAGTCATATTCTTCCCTCTAAAACTTTTTTTTATTGAATGGCTATGTTCATTTGATCTCTAATTTTTTTTAAATTGGGCCTCCTCTCTTACTGAACCTATATTTGTTTTCCCTATTTCCACTTCTTTCTTCTGTTTAGAGATGTTTAGCATCTTTGGCAGAGACAATCCAATAGCTTCTTAATCAATCTCCCTTTACTACTTCATAAGTAATTTCTACATTGGTATCACCATGGTAAATTTAAAAGAGAAATTTGACCATGGCACTCCTTCCTTTAAAACTTTTCAATATTTCCTATTTCTTACAAGGTAAAAATCAAGATATTTAAACATGTTGTCTTCTATGACATGGCCACTAGTTGCTTTTGTATTCCCTTTTCTAGCACATTCCTATCTTGGGTTATACCCCCTCAACACCCAACTATCCTATATAATAAAGAGCTAATATGCAAATGGCCCTTGTGCCCTCACACCAGGCTGGGGAACCTGAGGTTGTGCCAGGGGACCTGAGGCCGTGCCACCTGCCCAGCAAGACTTAATGGGGGACCTGAGGCTGCATCCCCCACCCTGCAGGGCTTGATGGGAGCAGGGCCAGCCAGACCTGGGTCTCAGGTGATTTTGAGGTGTGTGCAGGTGAGCAGGGACTTGACTCTGGGTCTTGCGGTGCACCCCAGAATCTGACAGGAGGAAGATTTTCATATACATTTTACTAATTTTCTTTCATCTCTGACACTTTTCTTATAGAGAAAGGGCAAATAGCAATATTAAAGTATTTCCTCTAATTAATTCCCTTGTAATGTGCACAAATTTTGTGCACTGGGCCACTAGTACATAGTATAATTACCCAAGTTTATCATTTCACCTGGCTATTCCTCTGCCTAGAAGGCCACTGCCCCCAAGAGCCCCCTTTCACTTGGGCTTACCCAGCTAACTCCTTCTCACATTCCAGTGAATCAGACAGGCATCTTATCCTTCAGAAAGCCTCCCTGGAATCTCCAAATTGGCCTAACTATCCCCCATGTTAGCATATCTCTATTTTCATTTACCACTTTGTAGTGCAAATCATATATTTCTGTGTCTGTCTCATCTTTTCCCCTGTTTCTTAAGGGCAGAAACCATGACTTCTAGTCTTCCAGCCTCAAGAAGACACGAAGTGTTTGAGGAACGAACTCGCCTCCATAAGTATGTCTGTGGGTGCATGAGTACCTTCAGCAGCCCTATCCCCACCTGGACAGCAGTTGTAGGTTTGCATTTTCACCATTGTGAAAAAAGATTGAACCAAGCTCTTCTGTGAAAAGCTTTGGTAAGAAAGAGATGGAAGGTTAGGTTAATGCCTTTCATGTTCTTATTGAACCGTTCATAGTAACCCTTCACTAGGAAAATTCTAATCAAAGACAGCTTCATAAAGTACTTCTTTGCTGGTCTGCTATTTTTAGATCTTATGAAGGCCTGATTTTAAAGTCACATGAGAGGGAGAAAAACAAGTGCTATTACTTCCAAAGTCTATACAGGCTTTATGGCCTCGACTGGGTGAATTAACTCTGCTTACAATTCATTCCTTACAAAGTCTTGATGATGACTTCCCAGAGCTGTTCCCTCTTATTTAGCATGTTTTTTGTTTATCACTAGTGACAGACCTGCTCAGAATGAACTCTTGAGACCTCTGGGAACAGGATTACTTTGTGCCATACCAAAAACAAACACACTGGTCCTTACCCTGCTCCATTTGCCAGTCTGGGAGAGGTTCAACTTGCACCATGCCAGCTTTTAGATAAACATTTTTTCTTAGTTTACACTTTCAAAGTTGTGTCCATGTTTTAGTAGAATTATTATTCAGGAGTTTGAGATACCGAGAGAGAGAGAGAGAGAGAGAGGAAAGAGAGAGAGAGAGAGAGAGAGAGAGAGAGAGAGAGAGAGAGAGAGAGAGAGAATATCAACCAAAACTAATCTACTTTACAATGTGAAATGCTGCAAATTTTCTGGTACGTACTTTTATATTAGGTTTAAATTTTTACTGTTTGTTTGTTTCAGTGCCTAATTTATGATAGGCACTCTGCTAGATATTTTTCATTGTTCTACTAGTCAATTCTCACAAAATTAAATGAAATAATTACTGTTCTCTTTGCATTATCAATAAGGAAATTAATAAAGTTCCATGAGGCTGATTCAGTTGTCCAAAGTCTCACTATAACATGACAGACATCTGATTCATACTCTCTGCTGCTGTCTTCAAAGCACACCTTCTGTACGATACTACAGCGACTTTCTAAAGCACTTATTCCTGAAGAAAACTTTTTTTGTTTTGTTTATTTCTATTGATTTCAAAGAGGAAGAGTGAAGGAGAGAAAGATTGAAATATCAATGATGAGAGAGAATCATTAACTGCCTTCGTATAGCCCCCACTGCAGATCGAACCCACAACCTGGACATGTGCCCTAGATGGGAATTGAACCTGGGACCCTCCAGTCCTCAGGCTGATGCTCTATCCACTGAGCAAAACTGGCTAGGACAAACACCTTACTCCTTGTTTTTACTCCTAGATTCCCCTCATTCAAAACCCTGCTTTTTTCAAACCACTTTCTCCTAAACAATTTTTCTGTCCCACTGGCACTACTTATCAAACCCCAGGGTTATTTCCCAAGATTTAATCTGGACATTACATACTTTGTCAATAAAATTTTAGAATTTAGACATACATTATTTTCAACTGCAAGAACATATGTAGAGGTAAATTAAAACAGTGATAAATGAAAGCATGATTAAGACTATAATGGTTAACATTACTAGATGCTTGAAATATTGGTACATAAAAATGAGAGACCAGCAAATGCTATCTGTATTCATGGAATGCATCACTTTCCAGAAATAA